AGAGGATTGTGTATGTGTGTGTGGTGGTGGCAGAGAGATGACAAACTCCAAAAGGAAGGGATGGTGGACACTTTTAAAGTGTATCCTTGGGGGCATGGGCAATATATGTAATCTTAACACTTGTATCCCCACAATACTCTAAAATAAAAAAAAATTGGATAAGCACTAAAAATAATAATAAAAAATAAACAGGTTAAAAGAATTCAAGAAAATTGAGGGATATTCTATAACTGGCCTGCACTCTTCAAATTCTTCAATATGCAGAGACAAAGAAAGGCTAAGAAACTGTCCCAGATTAAGGAAGATTAGGACTAAAGATATGTGATAACTAAACATAAAATATGTGATCCGGGACAGGAAAAACAACAATTCTGTGAAGCACATTGGAGACAATTGATGAAACTGAAATATGAAGCATCAATTAGATAAAAGCATTATATCATTAAACTCTCCTTTTTGATAATTGAAAAAAAAAAGTGTACCTTCTGCCCACAAGCATGTCAAACACAGTCAACAAAGATTGCTCCTCTGTCCCCCAAACCCAAACTAAAAAACCCTCCCGGCAACTTGGCAGCAGCTCAGTGTAGAGTACTTGTCAATTCTGGTATTAGAACATCCGCCTTGCAAAACCGAAAACGTCCAGTTCTGGTTTGGCACACAGAGGAGATTTTCAAGCTTCGGCAACTCCTCAATGCAAGCAATCGAAGAACTTCCCCAGCTGAGTGAAAATCCTCCTCCCTTCCTGCTTCGTGTAGAAAGACAGTTCCCTGCAGGCAGGAACCTGCCCCACTGAAGAGACATGTCCCTGAAAAATCTAGGAACAAATGGAATCCCTTTGACACCCTATATGTTTGAAAGCTAAAGGGAGCGAGCTCCAGGGAAATGACTAGGTGAAGTTCTCAGGCAGCCACTGGAGTAGGGTGGGGAGATGGGTAAGTTTCCTATAGGCAGATGTAAGACAATCTTATCCATAAGGGAGAAAAATCCTAACTGAGAGTAAAAGGATGACAGCTGAAATAACAGTTAATCTTTATTAACTATCTTACCAAATGCCAAAGCACTTTTCATAGTTTATCTGATTTAATTCCCTTGGATGTGGGTGTGGAGGCATTTAGGGGAGGGGACAGCATGTGAATTGAGAAGAGGAAGAAGAGGATACCTTCCACTTTAATGAGCAATAGCCCTTTAAGGTAGGTACTATTACTACCTCCATAGGAGGCTAAATAACTTGCCAAATATCACATTTAAAGCAAGTGGTGGCAAAGTGAGAATTCATACCTGAGCAGTTTAACTCGAAAGCCAGGGTGCTGATTCATTCATTCTTCATTCATCCAATGACTATGTTGAATGCCTGCTACACTCTGGCACTCGTTCAAGCTAAAATATAGCTGTGCACAAGGCAAGTACAAATACACGAAACTTACATTCTAGCGTGTGTGGGGGGGGGAAGGATAGCAAGTTGGACAAATAAATAAAACATAAACTAGGTTAGACAGTGATCAGAGTTAAGGGAGAAACTAGAGCAGGGAAGAAAGAGAATTATGTAGGTGGGGAGGTCAATTCTGAATGGGGTCATGAGGCAAGGTCTTGCTAAGAAGGTGGCAGGAAATAAAGATGGGAGGAAATGAGGAAGCAAACCGTGTGGCTGTCTGGAGGAAGAGCATGAGAGGTAAAGGGGACAGCAAATACAAAGGCCTTGAGGAAGGAGCAAGGGTGGTATATTCTAGAATTAACAAGGAGTCCAGAATAACATGAGCAGAGTGATTAAGGAACAGAGAAGGGGGAATGAGATCAGAGAGGTAAATGGAACTGGGTTGCATAGGGCCTTGCAAGTGGCTATTAGGGTTTTTCCTTTTCTCAGGTGTGACGCAGACATCTTGGAGCAGAGGAGGGACACGAAATGATTTACTATAGTTTAGACAGAATCACTCTTACTACTCTTAGAGGAGCAAGGAGGGCCATTGAAGAGGCTGCTGCAGGAATCCCAGCAGAGATGAGGGTAACTTGAACTGACAGGCTGTGGACATGTGGCAAGCACTTCAATTCTGGGTTTATTGTGAAATCAGAGTCAAAATACTGGCTGACAGGTAGGACATGGCGTGTGTGACTAAGACAGTGATGGCTCTAAGGCTTTGGCCTGAGCAAATGAAGACTGGCGTGGACATTTTCAGAAATGCGCAGGGGAAGAGTGCAGGAAAAATGGTCTTTTGTTTTGTTTTTGTCTTAAGGGGGAGGGAATATCAGGTCTCAGTTTGGGATATATTACAGATGCCTCATAGACAGCTGAAAGGTGATGCTGAGTATAAGCCCTATAAACTATACCCCACTGCCTTAAAGTAAGTGAAGACATTGACCCAGATGCAACTCTGGAAAAATGACGACTATCAAAAATACTGGAACCAATTTTGAGCTCATGGAAGTAGAGAGTTGAATTGCAGGTATTGGAAGTGATGGATATATTAATTTCCCTGATTTGATCACTTTACATTATATGCATGTATTGAAATGTCACCCTGCATCCCATAAATATGTACAATTGTTACGTATCAACTAAAACTAAAAGGGAAAAATACTGGACTAGTATTAAGGAAAATAAAAATATTGAATTTTTTTAGGGTCTTGCTATGTTGTCCAGACTGGTCTCAAACTCCTGGCCTAAAGTGATCCTCTTACCTCAAGGAAGGTCAAATTTAAAAATTCTCCCATATCCTGTCACCTTACTAAAAACAGCTGCTTTCATTTCTTCACATTTACTTCTGTTTTTGCCCACATGCATACATAATCTTATAATGTAATCACAGTTCAGATATAATTTCATATTCTACTTTTTTTCCCACTTAACATGACCCCAGAAATATCTTCCTACGTGGCTGCAGTATGTGATTCTTGAGGATCAAAAAGGCCGACAAAATGCTAGGCATTGCTGAGAAACATTTAAGAAACAAAAGTCAAAAATCCTACTTTGATACAAGCTTGATCCCCCTCTAGCTGGCATTGTGCTTACTGTAATTTTCACGGACAATGATTCTCTGTGGAGGTGACTCTGAGCTAGGACCTGAACGATGAGAGCCAGCCCTGCACCCCATCTAGGGAAGGACATCCTAGAAAGAGGAAATAGCATGCGCAAAGGCAACAGGAAAGCCCATAAAAAAGAGTTGGTGGAAGATTCATTTCAACCAGCAATTACATAGAAACTAAATTTATCTTTGTACCAATTTTAAGAATACCTTTTAATTTAAACTACAGAGCACGGGTACACCCTTCTTCTAGGATTCTCTACCAAAGAAGGAGAGGCCTCATAGAATAGATGGTAGTGAACCCTAGTGACATAGCTGTTCTTAAACGTTTGGGACCTCAGATTACTCACAAACTCCACATGGAACCTGATTGGTTAATTTATCTCAGTCCCTCAGCCAGAACCTGAGTCTAGTTCTTATTGTTATAGAAAAGCCCAGAGGTCCAAAGAGGGTAAATGACTTGTGCAAAATTATTCAACTACTTTGTTTAGGGTTTTAACTAGGGTTCCATTAGCCCCACCCTCCCCATCAAAGGCTCCAAAAAACATAAATGATTCCGTGCACACGACTCCATCGGTAACGAAGCCCTTAGCTGGGAAATGCCCCTCTTCCGGACTCACCAGCTTATCATGTGCATAGAATTATTTACTCAAAAGCAGGAAAATCACTGGGAAAACCATTGGTCCCCGGCTCCCGCGTCCAGGCTGCGAGCTAGTCCACGCTTCCTCCGGGAGCCGGCAGGGGGGGCACCAGGCGAGCTTTGCAAGCCGCGCCTCCGTCGCACCCCTCCCCCTCCCCGCCCAACTTCCCCATCGCCACGGCTTCAACTAAAAGTGGCCATTGACCTTTCAAGCTTTTGAGCAGTGATGCAATCGAATAGTATTTCAAAGAAAAATTGTTATCAAAATTTGGGGTCCGGTGTTCCCACGAGTGTTAATGGTTTTGAAAAAGTAGGTCACATTTAAAGTAGGTCGCATCTCAGGGGCGGGCGTGCAAGCAAGGAGATGAGTTTCCACTGAGGCCAGGTAGCCTCCAACGGGGTAGGAGGTGAGAGTTCCCGGGTGAGGAAGAGGTGCCCAGATCCTTCCGAATTCCCGGCCCCGGGGCGCCAGCCCTGCAGGGAACCGCAGAGACCGGCGCTCTCCGGGCTGCGGGCACCGAGGCCGCCACCTGGCACCTCCAGGCGCGCAGGTAAGGGCGACCACTCGGCAGCCGGCGCTAGTGTGTTCACAGGAGACGCTGGAGCCCAGAGGAGGAGGAGGAAGGGAGGAGCCGGTTAGGGCTGGTGCGGGTGACAGCAAGCCGGAGCGCCAGGGGGAGGGGACTGAGGGCCGCCAGCGCCGCTTAAGGAGGCGCTGCTCTCCGGCTCTGCCTTCTAGGACCCGGCCCAGGGGACTGCCTCGGGCCCGCTCCCTCCGGGCCCGGGCGTGGGTCCCCGGACTCAGCAGGGCGTCCACACCCCACCAATGTGTCTTAGAGTCGGAGGAGCCGGTTTCCGAGGACTGCACCCCCCCAGTCTTTCCTGCACCCCCCCCACAAAATGCGCGGCCTGCAGTGTCGCGTGCGGGCGGCGCGGAGGGAGGAAAAGAGGCACCCACGCCTCGCGGGGCTCCAAGGGGCAAGGATGGCCATTATTCGCCGGACCCGGGTGCTCAGGTGGCAGCGGCGGGGGCAGGCTCCAGCCGCCCAAACGGCGTTGGCCGTGCCGGGGGCTTCTCCCGCTTGCCCCCCAGCACCCCGGGGCGGGGGTCAGAGGAGGGCGGAGTCCCAGGCGTCCACACCGCTGGGTCCACACCGCTGGGCCCGCACCCGAGCGCTCCCAGCCCGTCTTCCGTGCAGCCGGCGTATTAGCGCCCGAGCCTCTTTAAAGCGGTAGCGGGGGCCGCGGTCACGTGAGGCGGATTCCTGGAAAGTTCCTGGAAAGCGGCCTCCGCAGCAGCCGGGAGGGGCGCGCCGGGAGCGCGGCCGGGGGAGGGAGGCGGGGAGCGAGGGAGGCGCGTCGGGCTGGGAAGTCGCGCGCACACACTGCTCCGGGGACAGACGTTTAACTCTTGCCAAGTCTCGCCGCCGCCGCGGCTCGCGGGCCTTGGGCTTCCCCGGAAGCATGAGCCCTCTCGCCCGCAGCCGCCGGCGCTGCGTGGGCCGCGGACCGTGCGCGCCGGGGCCCCGGGCGCGCAGCCTCAGGATCCCCAGCGCCCGCAGCTCGGGCGCCCGCGGCAGGTACCGGAGCGGGGACCCCGAAGGCTCCGCCCGGAGGAGAGTCGCTGGGGAGGGCGGCGGGGCGCGGCCGCGTGCGCCGGCGGGCGGCGGGCGGCCTGGGCTTCCGCAGCTTGGAGCGCCGCGGGAGAGGTCCGAGCCGCGGCGGGGCGCCGCCGCCGGGCGTTACCGCCTGCTTTCTCCGGTTCCTTCTCGGCGTCGGGAATTCTCCGGAGTCCCCCCCCTGCCATTCAAATTAATAATCCCAATAACCTGATCTCCCGCTCCTCCCCACCGACCTGCCTCCCGCCCTCGCTCCTTCCTCCCTCCCTCTCTCCTTCCCATCTCCTAGGTCGCAGCAGGAGGGGAACCCGGCGACTGCTCCGGGGTGGGGTGTGTCGGGGAGTCGGAGCCCGGTGAGGGCGTCGGAGCTTGGGGGTGGGTGTTGAGGCAACGATCCCGGGGCTTTTGTCTGTCCTCTGCGCAGAGAACTCCGGCCCCTGCCGTCGAGCGCAGGGCCGGTCGCATCCCCTGGCATCTCGCTCCCATATTAAACGTCAACAGGGGACACTCGGGCAGACACCCCTCCTCTCCTGGGCCCCTCCCGGTCCCCCGCCCCATGTCCGCTGGGGAGGCTGCCTGGTGCGGAGGCGGCGGCCGCGGCCGAGGTAAGGGCTCGCTGCTCATTATTTGCGCGTCCCTCCGCACTCGCTGCCGCCGCTTGGCCCCGGCCTCGGCTCCGAGTCCCCGCGAGGGCTGCGCGCGCTGGCCGATTCCTCGACAGCGCCTGTGGCGGCGAGAGTAGCTGCAGCCAGCCGGGTCCGGGAGCCATCCCCGCGGCGCCCCGCGCCCCGCCCCGCCCCGCGCGGGCACCGGGAAGCTGGGGGAGGGGAGCAGGCGGCCTCTGGCGGGGGATGCCGCAGCTCAGGCACCTCTGCACCCCGCGCTGGCTGCTCGGGCCCTGGGAGCTCCGCGACGCTTTAGGGCGGAGAACTAAGTTTGTGCTGGTGCTTGCTCCCAGGGGCCCTCGGGCTGCGCGGGGTTTGAAATGGGAGTGCCAATTTGGGACTCTCTACTTTTCTTCCTTTTAAAATTTTTCTGCTTGTCCTTGACAAGGGCCTATTCCCACCGGACCCGCAGGTGACTACTTGCTCTTCCTAGGCTGTCCTTCTGGGATTTCAGCGAGCAGCCCTGGGCTGGAAGACACCCCCGTTCACCCTCATCCTGTCTAGTTCCTCCCCACCCCTAAAGCTCCCGGGTCAACTCTTGAATCTTGGATCCCTCCTCTCTCTTTATCCTTTCTCTAGAGCTGGGCCAGGGCGGTAACTGGATGCTTGGGGTTAAATGGTGCCGGAGCAAAGAGGCGGAGAAGTCCCTGGGATTTTCCACGTCTCTGTTTCCCCACCCCCACCCCAGCCGCAGGGGTCCAGTTAGGACTGACCCAACCCCCCCCCACTTTCTCTTTGCAGGCGATCTCTGGGTGACCACGTCTGCGAGGGACTTTGCTATCCGTCTGCCAGGACCTGGGGAGAAAGAACCGGCAGCTCCCTATCCCTTCCCCCTCTGCCAGCATTTTGGGCACCCCGCAGGGACTCATTTTGGGGTTCCCACTGACTTCCAGGAAGGACGGGAGTCCTTCTGTGACCCCATCTCGGGCCGCCACCTGTCTTTGCCGCAGTGACCCTTCTCCCATGACCCTGCGGTGCCTTGAGTCCTCCGGGAATGGCGCGGACGGCACGCGGAGCCAGTGGGGGACCGCGGGGTCAGCAGAGGAGCCCTCCCCGGAGGCGGCGCGTCTGGCGAAGGCCCTGCGGGAGCTCGGGCAAACAGGTAGGGAGCAGAGCGGCCGCCACGCGTGCGGGAGGGGCGCCTGCCCAAAGACGCGGCTGGGGGCTGCGCCGGCGGGGAACAGAGCTGGGACGTGTGCCCGAGGTGGGAAACAAGGAATGGGGTGGAAACGCGTCCCCTCGCTTCCCGTCCTCGATCCGGGGCGGGGAGGGTGGGGAGAGACCGCGCGGAGGACGCCCGCAGGGCCCTGGAACCTTGGGAATGCGAAAGGAAAGTGGTTCTCGGGGGTCCCTGAGGCCTGGGAGCAGGCAGAGCGCGAGAAGGGCTTCTTGGAAATAGCCTCTTAGCGTGCTGGAACCTTTACTCTTTGCCGCGGCTTCTCAGGGTTAGGCGCTGGAGCTCGAACCCTGGCCGGGGAACGCGCCCGGCGCCTCCCGTCGCGCGGGGTGCACGGGCAGCAAGTGGACGCGGCGCTCCCCGCAGCCCCAGCCGCATCCGGCTCCCGGGCGGAGCCGCGGCCGCAGCCGGGACCCTGGCGGCCGCGTCCGTGGACGGCCTGCCTGCCGCGAGGGGGGTGCCCGGGGCCGGGCGGAGCGCGGCGGCGAAGCCCCCGCCGAGTGCGGCTCCCGGCGGCGGCGCGCCCGGGCTACGGCGTGTTTCGAGTGCAGTCAGGCGCTTCGCGCGTCTCGCTCTCGTCCCTCGGCATTTGAAAGAGGAAAAGAAAAAAAAAAATTTAAGTATCTGGCAAATCATTTTAGCTTTCAAAATCTGGATCCTAAAAGCTTGCGTTTGAGGCAAAGTTGAAGTTGCGATAGCAACAGCGGGAGGGCGAGGGAAAAGTTCCCTGGCCGGCGGTTCCGGGCTTCCCCGGCGGCCCACTGGCTTTGCCTCCGCCGGGGGGACCGGCAGATTGCAAGTATCCAGGGACTTGCGGATTGCAAGTATCCCGGTCAGTTGGGTTGGGGGCGGGAAGCACCGTGTCCAAACTTGGTAAATGCAGAATGTCTTTGAGTCTCTTTTGAAAACCGGATGGGCCGTGGAGCTGGTGCCGGCCAGTCAAATGGAGATTCTGGGGGAGACCGACAGATTGAATTTGGATTAGGGCAAAGTCCAAAAAGTTTAGAAAAGATTGTAAACTTGAATTACTTATTATCCACTGGGCTTCCCATTTCTGAATGACTGATAAGGTAGTTGTAATCAAAGCAGCTAACAAGCTATTGTGCTAGAGCTATATACTTCTAAAACAGATAGCTGTGCTTTCTAGAGCTTTGGACAGAGAGATGCAGCTGTTAGCAAATGTTTTTGGGGAAGGGGCTGGGGGACACCAACCATCCAAAAAAGTTACTTCTGTTTTTATTCTTTTGGAATTACTAAAGTTGGATTTTCCACTTTTTTAAGGGCATGGCTTTTATTTCTAATTTACTTACATCTTTATTTAGTGCTAAAAGCATCGTGTTTTGCCAGCCATCATGTCATATTGCAAATATTCTTTTGGTTCGTTAGAAGAAAATCTTAAGATAGTTTAAAGAAGAGCTACAGAAAGTTATTTTTAAAAAAATAAAACTGGCCCACAGTTTGTGTTCATAAAATGGACCCAAATTTTCATTAAATTCCTACTGAAAGTATTTGTGGTGGCCCCTGGTAAACTTTTATACACCTCTTTTTTAGAGCTAGAAAAGTTATTGCCAAGTATTTGCCCCATTCTAAAAATTCTTATAATAACTATTTTACCCTCTTTTCTTTTTCTTTTTGAACAAAAACCCCAGGATGGTACTGGGGAAGTATGACTGTTAATGAAGCCAAAGAGAAATTAAAAGAGGCACCAGAAGGAACTTTCTTGATTAGAGATAGCTCGCACTCAGACTACCTACTAACAATATCTGTTAAAACATCAGCCGGACCAACTAATCTGCGGATTGAATATCAAGATGGGAAATTCAGATTGGACTCTATCATATGTGTCAAGTCCAAGCTTAAACAATTTGACAGTGTGGTTCATCTGATCGACTACTATGTTCAGATGTGCAAGGATAAGCGGACTGGCCCAGAAGCCCCCCGGAATGGCACTGTTCACCTTTACCTGACCAAACCGCTCTACACGTCAGCGCCACCTCTGCAGCATCTCTGTAGACTCACCATTAACAAATGCACCGGCACCATCTGGGGATTGCCTTTACCAACAAGACTAAAAGATTACTTGGAAGAATATAAATTCCAGGTATAAGCGTTTCTCTTTTTCTAAACATGCCTCACGTAGAGTATCTCCGAATGCAGCTATATGTAAAAGAGAACCAAAACTTGAGTGGACTGCTCTGGATGACTACACGGAATCCTTTCTAAGAACAGCTGAAGTCAATTTAATTTAAATGTGTGCCGAGGTAGCTAGGTATTTAAAGCCCTCCCCTCCCCCTCCCCAGATATTTTCACCAGAGGGATGTTTCCCTTCCTAAGGCTGACTGAGACCAGTTGTTGTTTTAAATGAAAAATAAAATGTCCCAAGTCAAGGCTGAAAGAGCATTTATCAGAATGCCTTGCCTTCCTGAGGTTCCTTTCCATTAGGTCAAAGGTCCAAGCTCTAGTAGTAAAGAGCTGCACCTAGCAGTACTGAAGAAGTGGAAGGAACTAAGCTGACACAGGCATAACTTCAATTTTATGTGCTTGGTGATCAGAATCTACTTTAGGACAGTTTATATTTTGCATTCTGATGTACCTAGGAGTTTTGTTAAACAGATCATGTGTGTGAGTATTTATCCTTTATTTTATGCAATTAACCAAATCAACCAAAAAAGTGACCACGAAATCCTGTATTTGTCTTACTACATGTATGAACTCTCTCATGTGAATGAGTACTGTAGTAATCCATTTTAAGGGAGCCTTACTTCAGAAATATTTCAAACTGGTGCAAATAGAAAAGACTTTTTTCTTTTCCTTTAAGGCTAAAGACAAGAATGTCATGCTATACAGGTGCAACTCAATCTCTGTTAATAAAAACCAGTGTAGATATAGACATTTTACCATTTAAAGTAGCTGTGTCCCAACCTGTAGCCATTCGTTTTTTGGAAATGGCTTTAGAAATTTCCAGGTTGCCCTTGAATTGTCTAACCATGGACATTAGCAGATGTCTCCCTTCTACCATGTAGAATACTTTGACTTAATTTTCTTCCAGATATAGGGGGATACCTGCCTGTTTTTCCAAGTGTTTATTTACTGCTGTTATTATTTGATTAGAATGTATTAAATAAAAAAAACTTGACTTTTACAAGTTGCACTTATTACTTTGAGTTGTAGAGGACATTACATTTCCATGGTAATAGAGGTTTGCCATAAAAACTTATGTCAAGTAAAGTAAGCCAAGTATTCAGCAAGAGGTAGAACATTACTTGTCCTTCTCTGAAGTTATGGGCCGCACCTGCCCTTTGCATTTTGGAAAGCATGGTTTGGAAACTACAAGAATCGCCAAGTGGCCTGGTCTTACACAGTTTGAGTAGGCGTTACATTAATGCCCTTTGTGTTTTCAGACACATGATTTAAAAACTGCAAAAAACTGTGACATTGTCTGGTCTTTTACAAGTTGAGAAGGCATAATACTAAATCAAAACAAAAAGTTTAATGGCCACTCTTTCTTTGCTATACAGTTCATGACTATTGCAAATGTACCATCTTTTCTGGAGTCCAGACTTTATTTTGCCATCTTTTCAAATTTCCTTCATAGCTACATACTATGGTGTGTCACCAGGAAGGTGAATCACTGTGTCATGTGTGTGTCCCAGGTGAATTATAAAATTCCATTATAAATTAATAGTAAAACCTAGTGTTGCATATCTTATTTTCATGAAGATGTTGAAAAACAGTTTGTACCTGGAAGAAAAACATAGTATGTATATCCAAATAGCAGAGCCAAACACAAAAGATCGAGAGGTGTGCTTTAGGAAGAGTTTATTTGTAGCCTAAAACTTAAGAGCTAGACTTACAGGGTCTGGTCTGTGATGTAGCCATAAGCTTTTCATTAGGATGTTCAGAATCTGCTTTATTCATCCTTTTCCTCCCACTGACAACGTTTGTTTAGTGTTGGATGTTTGACTTTTCTTGCAAAACTTCCACATGAACAGTGCCAAGGGGTTTTGTGGAATTTCTTTAAAGGTCTGTTGCATTTCTTTTCTCATTGTTTCGGACATTTTTATTTCTGTTATCGGGAGTGGGGAGGCTGTAGTGGGGCGTGAGTACCCGTGCAATTGTGAGAAGTTCTGTGTTATTGCTAGCAAGTGACTAATTATGAGAAAGTTAGAGGACAGCACAGATACCTCTGGAGTGTGTGCCGTGGAACCTGTTGCCTTATTCCCTATTCCCACTAAGTTGATAAGCATCAGGAGACAATCATTTTGGGTTTTGTTTTGTTTTTTACAATAACTACCATTTATTATTGAGTTTATTGTGTACCAGGTTCTTACTTGGCACTTAAAGCATATTATCTCATTTAATCTTCAAAAGGACAGAAGGAGCAAAGTACAGTGCTGAGAGCAGGTACACATTCTGCTTTGTGAGTAAAGAGGCATTCCAGGAATATCCTAGCTCTTTTTATTCCTGGAGAGGAATTACAAAGAGCAAATTGCTGCTGAAATTTCTGCATCGATCCAGATGAACACGTTAGAGCAGGCTGTAAAAGAAACCCTTGGCCTTTTTACTGCAGCCTCAACCAGAGCAACCGGAAAAGTATAGATACCTTAATTGGCATTGTGCCCTGTGGGATTCTAGTCAGCCTGGCCAGTTTGGTCAGCTTAGTTTTTGTCCTGAACACTCCTGAAAGGGGAGTTCCTAGAAACTGGTGTGTGGGTAGGTGAGTGGGCAGGTGGGGGGTGGGAGTTTACCATTTTACATGGTGGCTGGTCAATGCCAGTTATCAATTATTAGTAGCCCCATTTTATGTACAGTGGAACAAAAAAGTTAAGATACAAACTTCTCTAAATCATCTTCAGCAAAGCCTGGAACAATATCCAGTGCTCTCTCTGTGCGCAAGGTGGTTTAGGGCATTAGTGAGACTATTTATTATTTTTGCTATTGTTGAAGAATATCATATACAGGTCTGGTATATCCCCACAGACTAAAAGTATTTTGATCCTAGGCGAGGCAGTACAGGTTTTCATTACTGTTACAGTGGGCACTGGTGACTGCTTTTTAGGGAGGAGGAGATTTTTTGGAACTTTGGAGAGTGGGGAAAAAGGCAGTTCAGCTTATAAAGTGAGAGTTCTTCCTTGGTGTGTCAGTAAGAAAATCCTGACTTCATAGTAATTATGTAATCCAAAGAGGTAACAGAATGGGACAGTTGTTTGGGAGTGTTTATTTTCCTGGGAAGGATTTTCTCTGTTTTTAGAAAATTGTACCCTGGTAGGAGGGTAGGAGACAGAGACGTCAGCATCATCAAATAATCCAAGGCATGGAATGTCCTGAGACCAGGCCGTGCCCTTCTCGGTTGTGGGTTTAGGCACAGGGTAGGTGGGTTGAGTGGCTGTGGTTATGTCTAACAGCTGGGTTGAAGCCTCTGTCTCCAAGTGGTCCTTTCTACACTCTGGAGCAAAAGAATGTTCTGGGCCTTTTGTTTACTTAAGAAGCCTGTATTCTCTTCTCTCAATTTTTAACTTCTTAGAATTTTAAAGCTTGAAGCCACTTTTCAGATCACATATTTCAGTTCCTTCATTTTACTGCAGAAGATTTTCATTCCCAAAGAGGTTAGGAGATTTGTGCACACCCAGCCTAGCAAATCAATGACAGAGGCAGTATTGGGACATAGATATTTCAGTCTTAGGTTTAGTATTTGTAAAAGCTACACCCTTCTATCCTTTGTTAAAATTGTCAGTACTCTTCTTTGCTCCCCTCGTAAGCCCACAGTTCTCTTTAACAGCTCAGTTTCCTTCCACTGAAATTCAGAATCAGCCTTTGGAATGCCCTGTGGGGACAATTCCAGTTCTTGGCTCCCTCCACCCTTCTCCAAAGGATCTGCTTCTGCTGGGTTTCATGATGTCTTGATCCACATTTGAGTTTTCCATTAATTTGAACTCCTTAACATTTCTAATCTATTTGCTGTTTTAAAATCCCGAACCTCCCATCCATGCTATTTGATGATCTCATTTCTGCCTTGGCTAGATGTGACTCACATCCAGCCGCCGTGCCCGGGTGACTGCTGTCTTCACCAGTGGAGCCCATTCTTGCTTTTTGCCCGCTCGTGGGCATATGGCAGAGTTAATTCCTGCCTTACTTTCTCCCTTTCCTGTCATCAAGTTGCTCTTGTGGCTCATATCACAGAGCCCTACTGGCCGTACCATACTCCAGTGAAAGAGGGTGATCACACTCTCCTTGAGTTAGGTAATTGAGTGATTTATCATACCCTAAGATTAAATCTGTCTCTCTCTTTGGTTCCCTTCGGGTTTTGAAACAAGTAACCCGATGCAAATGCCACACTTTGATGTGCACCTTTTAACTTATTAAGTATGAGAAATTCCTTTTTCGTCATTAAGTTGTGCTTCATTTGATCAGGATGAAAATGCCCTCCATTCTTTCACTTCTGCTTGTCTATACCTAAGAATGATTCTGTGATGCTATTATTTCACTTCTACATATGTGTATGTTTCTTGTATTGTAATCTTCACATGGTTTTGATGTTTCTAATTTTTCTTTGATGTGACTTGAGTTCAGGTGACTTAACTTTATTACTAAGGTAAAGTAGCGGCTGTTGCTATACGGGTGCCTCGTGGTCCCAGAGTCCCAAATGCTGAGATACTGAGTAAGCTGTAGTCACCGAGCCAAGCTGGGTCGTCCTTCCTTCCTACCCCTTCCTGAGCCTTGACAGCAAGGGGGCATGGATCAGCAAGCCGGGTGTCCCACAGAGAATGGGACTCACTTCCGTAAACATTTATTTATAAAAATAAAACTGCTTTCATAGACAGTTCTCACTTTGAATTACATGATGTATTACTCGTGGGGCTTTGCTTAAGGGAAAGACAAGTCCGATTTTTGTGAAAGGGAAGGAAATAATCGCCAGCTGCCTTCCTCTTGTCTAAGCATAAATGTCACCCACAGAGCTCCTTTGCTATGGCGAAGTGTGACTTCTTTTGCTAGTTATTCCATCACAGAATTTTATAATGTTTTCCTGTATCACCCCAGTTTCCAACAGTGTTAAAGATAAAAATTTACTTATTTTTTTGTTAAATGGTTTTTCCCTTCTGT